AATCATTAGCGTTGCGTTAATTGGAGTTGGTTGAAATTTTCGGCGTTTACGTTCTCATTTTTATCCACTCATTGGTTAAAAATTCCTGTCAGTATCGTGGAACTTGTAGTACAGAAGAAAATTTCAATTAATTTATTTTGTTTAGGTGAGGCAATGAAATTGTAATGATATTATTTACCGTTTCAAAATTTTTTGGAAATTTATCAACTGTCGTTTCTCTTTGTCAGTGTAATTAATTTTATTGATACTAGATCGATGATTAGTGTTCTCTCGGGGATGCATTAGAGTGCTTCAGGATTGGATTCTCCGGTTCTCATCCGACATGCATCAATTAAATCTCTTATATTCTCTCCCTTACGACTCCTTGACGGTTATGAAATGAAATTTTACTTCAATGCCGATATCGGATTTCATCTTCCGCTTATTCTCCGCGTTCGATTTGAAATCGACTCGCATTGTAGCTATCAATGGGAAAAGTTTCGAATATCATAAATGAATTTCGCTCAGCTTTTACCTCCAGATGCTTTCGAAACAAAGAACGAACAGTCGTTAATAGAAAGTCTTGAATTTAATGTTGCTCGCTATCTCATCACGATCACTCCACCGTTATCCATCGGAAAAAGTTACCGCGAATGATATTGATGGAAATTTATAAATCTCAAAGTGGGGCAGTCTTTTCCGCGAATTTCCAATTGTTGAATCATGCACTCGGTAAATAATTAAAAATTCTATAACAATTTTTTGTTTGTGGGGCCGAAATCGGTGGAATTCCTATATATTTCCACCAGAGGACGATTGCATATCGGATCACTCAGAAATCGGTGTGTGACACGTGATACCATTGGGAAAGTTAAGCGATTTCGCGACACCCAACATGAACCGTCGCGAGCCAAACCACTCGAATTATACTGAAGCCGGCCAATTCTCCGTCACCGCATAAGCCGATAAATCTAATTATCCCGGTGGCTGCCAATAATTTCACCACTCTCGAGAGAGAGGGTACCACACATCCAATATAACCCGCGAACGCGGAGAGAAGCGCGTCGAGGTGAGGAGAGTGGGAATATTTGACTTGGGTTGGGACATACCTGGCGAGCCACGAAAGCCATACGTTGCCGTAATGCCGCTGCCATCTGGCATGACCGTGGTACCACCCAAACCCTCAAGACGTTTTTGAAGGTTTCCATGGCTGTTACCACCCCCATCCCCTCACACAGTGAATCCCGACGTCACACCAAATACCTGCACTGACAAATAAAAATGTTTAAATAAAAATTTTTTTTAAGTGTAAAAAGAATTTATTATGGGGAATAGATTAGAATAGATTATTAATATCCGGAATGAAATTGTATTTTTATATTTTATTTTCTGAGATAAATTGAAAGATGGAATAAAAGTCATTAAATACGTGAGTGGCGTTAATTATCTGTTCGATCGTATCGCCTTTATGGTTCACTTGGATGCAAACCTAATGCAATCCACTTGCGTTAGGATGAAGATGAAGCCAGATGCCTCTGGGGGATTCATTTGATGTCCTCTCATTAAGTTGTTACGACTTTTGCCGCTCATGGATATTGCATTAAATCGAGCAATACATCTGGATGATTCCTCTGCCAAATGTTTAATGGAAATGTTGGGGGCGGGAAGACGCCATAGATTGCATGTCTGGACGTCAAAGGGTGTTATTTGACTTGGGAAATGATAACTCTGGGGGAGGAAACTCTCTGCATTTTTATCTCTGCAAATGCCACTGAGCTCTGGAGAGTTTTTCAATCCGGAAATTGATCCTCTCACCGTCTTTTCAAAAGCTTCTCGTATTTGGCAAGTTATACCTTAAATTTTTACGAATTCAGGGGAAACTGGTACATCCGGCTTTTCCATCCTCTTGTGATAGACTATTAACATTAAAAGGGGCAGCCCAAGACTGTTTTGACTGGCAATAAATTTCAACGTCAAAATTCTGTAATTTTGAGCCTTCTCGGGTGAAGAAGGCGCTCGAGAATAGTTTTTCAATCTGTTAAACTGTACCTTCATCCTGAAAATTATGGGGTTCAGGGAAAACCATCAGACGAGATTTTTATCGTGCATTCAATCAGCTGAATGGAGCATGTCTACCGCTTCCTGGGTAAGTCGATAGTTTTAGAGATAAATCGGCAATTAAGAAAAATGGTAGATGTTAGATTTTCTCTTATGGCAGTTCCCTCACTTCATGAAGAAATGCTGGTGAATCTTGTTGATATCTCTTGAGTGGTATAAGTTCTATCCTGGAGCATCCAGATCCAATCAAAGACGACGTCCTTCTATTCAGCACGAGGTGCTGTTCCGTCACATTATCTGGGGATAAAGGTGAAGTGCTCCAGAACGGATACCACCGCTAATGCATTTCCGAAAACCACTAAATCTTGAGGACGGTGGTCGTCATGAGGGTAGTGCGAGGAAGTCCGTTACCACACTTTCGGCCTTGCCCCAAAGTATGTTTGGCATTAATGTAACTCCCACCCCAACAAGTGGCACTTTAATGTAAAAACAAAAGGATCATGTCAGGATTTATCGTGAAGGGATACAATGGGAATATGTGAGTCGTTCTATCCTATTATTCTAGGATATTTCGTGACGCTTTTGTTGTACCTCCTGCCTTCATGTGGAACTCTCTCCACCCCTGTCTCATTGCCGTAATAATAATTGCGCGAAACTGCCAGACACGATGGATTATTCCGTACAGAGATATGAGGGAAAAGGGTGAGAGGGAGGTGATAGGCTGGTTCGATATTCTTCGGGATGAAGGGAGTGTGTGTGAAACAGCACGAGGGGATGAGAGAAAACGCGCAACCGGTTGCAGCTAGATGAAGTAAAATAGAGCAGAAGGGTCAGTTCCGCCAGATTAAAGGGAAACTTCTCATCATGCTAGCGAATATCATTATACTTGGGTTGAATTTTTCCTCGTTTCTCCAGCAATGGAAGCCACGAATTCCAGTATCGGAACCATCAACTTTCTCATTTTTTCTTGTTTGAACTTTTTTTCGTTACTGTTTGTCGGAACGAGCTCAGCAGCGATTCTCCGAGGGTAAAACAAGTATACCCGATGGGGCTTAAGTGCACGAGAGTTACCAACGTGGTTTAAAATCAGGAAAAAAGTTGGCCACTTGGGGGACCAAGTCCTTAAAATTATGATGTATCCATAAACCGAGTGGTAACTAATGAAGTAACTGGTGGCTAATAAAAACATATTTTCGCGGGCAGCGCTGTGATTGGGTATAATTACATAGGTGATACACAGGGAGATAAAATTTTTTATCAAAATTTTGATACTTATGGAATGGTCCAATGAATTTACTTGATGTTTCAATAAACAACCGTTGTTGGCCAAAATGATGGGTTGTCGATTTGTTATTTGAAGTTTTAAAAGTGAATGTCTACTCAATGACCGATGCTTCGACAACTTTATCACATAATATAACAACTAAACTGGGAGTGGGGTAGGCCACGTGCCGGTAAACAGTGACCGCGGATTATACCACAACTCTTGATAGCTGTGCGACGACATTTATCGGCATAATAAACTCCATCGAGCGTGATAGTGCACTAACGTAATGTACGTGGAGATGCCAGAGAGGTAAAAGCCCCGTTGAAATAGTATCAGAGGGTCTTCCTCAGGGCGCGGGTACTGAGACAATTACCGAATCATTGAGCGCTGAACCAACCGGAGTAATTCCTATAATTTTCCACTCGGAAATAATAGCTACGTGTACACCCGAAAGCCTCGACTTTTACAACCCCAATATTTTCCATTGTAAATGAAAAGGTACCTCTGTGTATTACACAGATTAATATCCTCTACATATGTACACATAGATTGAACATTCGATCAATTCTATAACCAGACCCACTCCCGCATCTGCATAAATCCACACAATCCATCTAATTAAAAATCCAGTCACGAATGGCCATTATCATTTTCATAATGCTATTTGACAATATTGATAACAACCAGCTGCAGATTTAGCGTGCGCCCCTATCACTATCCCAAAACCTCCCCTTTTTCCTAATTAAACTATTAATTATTGGACAATATACGTCAAAAGTGGAAGTTGGAAGAAAATTCTTAGAATTATCGTAAGAAAATTATTCCGTCAAATTCTCCACTTCTATAAATAAATTAGTAAATATAATATTTAACGGACATGACCGCCGGTTTTTTCTATCGGTTTATGGACAATTAGTGATTGAATAGTGATTAATGATTCAGAGAACTGTAATGTCCCTCCAGAGAAAACAGAAGGCTAACACTCTCGTGGGGTGTGAGTGGATGTGGGAAATGTGTTCATGCACGCGTACCTCACAATGGGGCATTAGAATTTGCAGATACTATTAGCATCTGGATGGTGATGGCATTAGTTAGATTCTTCAGGTCAGAGGTGTATGGTAATGGTGCCTGGAAATGGAATTAACATCGATGGCATTGCCGCCGGAGAGTTCCATCGATCGAGGATGAAAAGTGGAAGAGCCTATAGTGACGATATATAGGTTACCTTCATGCTTTTACCCTCATAGTGATTTTCAATCCTCCAACGACCATTGCCACTGTGTCGACAGGGTATAATTTATAATACCGAGAAGTTGTTGGTGTCTCTGTGCAATAATTTAATGGGTGTTTTTCAACCGTTCGTCTCGCTGCGGACTGGAAAAAAAAGGATGAATGCAGGCAATCCAATTGATTAATTTGGGGGAATCGATGACTGTGAGTTCCGGATATTATTCGGATATTAAAGCAGTGTCCCGCAATTTTTTTCGACAATTTAAGAGAAAAAAAAAACAACTAGCGAGTATTTTATCGGGAATTTTAGTGATAATAACGGAAAAAAATATAGATCACTCTGTTTCTTCGTTTATTCCGTTTGTTTGTCGTTTAAGTTTCCACTCGTAGAACTCATAACACAATTTCCTGGACACTGGAAGGTTCGGGATTTTCACTGGCCTCTGCCTTTGTGTTCTGATTGCAGGAATGGACGGACTACAATCTCCAGTGGAACGAGAGTGACTACGGAGGAGTGAAGGACCTAAGGATAACGCCAAATAAGTTGTGGAAACCCGACGTCCTCATGTACAACAGGTAACTCGCTCTCTAATTAACAATCCGGTCAACTCAGTCTTGCCATTCCTCGACCTCTTCATCACCTCTTGCAAATTTAGTTGCTCTTTTTTTAAAACAATTTTTCCAAAGGCAAATTGAGTTTACTCACTCTGCAATTGAATCCTGGAGTTAGCGCACAGCGAAACAACGATGCAAAAAGGGCTTAACGTTTGCAATGTTGCAGATTAAAAGAAATTTACTGATCCGCAAACCGTGAAAATTTCATTCGTGTGAATTCCATCCAAAAATTTCCATATTTCTGGGTAAAATTTTGTCAGTCAGTTTTTTTACAGTCGCTAATGTTCTAAATTTTCATACTATTTGAAAAACAGCTGAAACTAAATTGAAAGTTAAAGATGCGGAAAACTGAAAGCCCGAATGATAAGACGTCTAGACGTCTCGTCTAGAGCTGTCATTGCTTCAAATAAGCCACAACCCAGTGCACGATTTTAACCGGCCAATGCTTGTGAATAAGAATCTTCTAGATTTTGAAATACTTTGGGAGCTCTGATTAAACAACAAACCCAAAATAGTTCACCAAAGATTGAGAATGTTTCAGAAGCCAGCAAAGTAACTCCATCTCCACGTTAGTTTGAGGCGCCAAGAGAGAATGAACTGACGAAACATAAAACCCAAATAGCCATTCTTGTACTCAATATAACTGATCTTTCCTTTCCTCTACCTTATTACGAAAGAGAAAAAGTAGTTGAACTCTTTGAAAATTAATAGACCGATTACGATAGAGTAATGAAGTTTAAACGGTACGTAAACAATTTTCCAGTGTTGCTTCGCATCCCAATCTGAAAGTAATACTCGAGTAATACTCATCTGTGCATGCGTTCACTTGAATTCCCTCTAATAGACAACTCTAATACCCAACGAGTAATTAATTGTCTCATTACAGTATTTCGTAATCGTATGAGTTACCAATACTGCTTATTATTTTGTAAATAAGTGCCCAAAGGTATAATAGTGATAAGATTTTTCTGTAGATTTAACTTGATCATTTGACATGAGAGTCTGCTGTCACGTTGCTTTGCACATAGTTTTCAATCAATATATTTTTCATTGGCTGTAGCTGAAGAAATACATGGACAAGTTGAAAGTAGCTTTTAAGACAGTGAATGAGTCACTGAGGTAGGACTTTGCTACAGATCCACTAGACGTTCTCGGCTGGAGAATGGTGAAACGTGACAGGAGACTCTCGTCCCGAAAGCTCGTGACTTGAATCTAGAGCGCATTGTATAAAGTAACGCCAAAGTTTTCCGAAGTAACAATGACCTAATTACTCGAGCCACTGACAATCCACTTTTTTTTCATCTGTATCCGAGTGAAGAAGAGCACTCTGCGTCCATCAATCAAATTTTCCAGATTAAATTGAGAGGCTGGTGAAAATAGGTCACTGTTGCTTCAATATTTTTCTAGGAATCTCTTGACCGAATAACATCCTAGATTAAACAATTTTTATTAAAATATACAATAATATCACGTCGACTGTGGATGAGGGTTGCAGATAGAGATATCATCTCTCTCTCCGATCCTTCCTGGTTGATATCATAACTATGCATCCGTACTCGTGACAAACGAATCGCTTCTGTCGAATTTTTGCCAATTATCCGAGTGAAACGAGTTACTGAATTCGTAGAAATTCCTGCACTATCAGGGGTACTTCCTGTACTCTATTTTTATCGGTGAACCAATTCAGGAGGAGTAATACTGAATGTTGAAATATTTCACGTGTCGGACTTCTCAGTTATACTCCTGTGTAGAACAGTATCCTGCGTAGAGGGAACTGTTGGCGAAGCCGTACATAGTTATAGCAATCACGTAGCAATTAGAGAATGCCCGTCAAGTCGACATTAGTCAACGGGAAGAAAAAATAATGCTTGCTCCTGAGGAAAATACACTTACTTCTCTTATTGTCCTTAAAATACCAGAGAAATGCTCCTTTCTATTAATTTTTCAATTAGACTCAAGACCATTGTATTTTATTTTTTTTTATTTATTACAGACAAGACATTTGTAGAGAATCCCTGCGAATTCTTTTATTAGTTTTTTTTTTTTCATTGAATTGAAAATTTAGAGAACCTGCACTTTATTGAATATTTTGTAGTCAACATCTCAATAAAAATTCCATAGAAATTTGTGAGGAATTCGCTTTGATTTGTTAAATTAAATTTTCCACGTCCGTTCACTTACTGGTCATTCGATTGTGGGATACGTTTCACCAATTTAAGGAAAAATCATCGATTTTTTGAGACAAGGATTCTTTTTTCTCTGGAGAAAGAAGGTTGTGAATGTCCAGAGTTGCTGGAATTTTCTTGTGATTTAACCGCTGGCCTTGGAGAAACCATCAGGATTTCCCTGGATGTTGGAAGGCCCTCGTTTGATGTCCAACGATATGCGTAATCCCGTAAATCACTTAGAGGTGCATTAATGTGGGATCAATGCAGGAGGTTTCAATATCTAATGTACTCACTCAAGCTCAATTATAGGAGTCCTGGCCTTTGAGCCTCTGGTACAGGACTTTCATATTTCTCAGGACTGTCAAATGATTTCGTTCTCTGCATTCACAAGTGCTAGTTAATTTTATTTCTTTTGAGCCCCGCATTACCAGCCCAGAGCAAAACATTCTCCTCGTTTCGAAATTTTTTTTATGGAAAACTCGAGACAACAACGGAGGGAAAAAAAGTTTTTCTCTGTGTAAATGATTAGAGACCATTTAGATAAAATCTCCTAGAGTTTGGAGTGAACTTTTCTGTATTACCTTCCACACTTATAATTTACCAGACCCAACAATTGCCTTGAAACAACCGAGAGAAAAATTCTTAATAAAATATAGAAGAGTAAATTTTCTTTACATAATTTCCACCTGCCACGTAGGCAGACATTTATTAAAAATGATCCCAATAGATTAATGTAGATCTAAATAAAAATCAGATAACATTAAGTAAAATTTATTTGACATAGGAAAATGTTGAAGTGGCGTTTGGCTTCAGGAATATTTCTGTTGTAGTAATTTTTAAAATGAATTTCTGCCCGGCCAATTACCAAAATGGGCTTCTGCATACACCGTAGTTTGCATTTTCAAGTGCAATTGTCGACGAACAGTAGGTTCGTTGCGTGCACTTGTGTTGTCCAACAAGCTAGCCAAGTTGGTACGAGTAAAAGGCCACCTTAACAGCACCAAGAGAGAATATATAGACATCCTTTGGGTACACGCTCCAATGGCTCACCCACTTATGCTGTACCACCTTTTACCGTCCACCCATTCTCTGTCTCTGTCCTTTGAGATAGTCACACCCTTTCCAAAGTGGGCGAGAGATCGGCTCCAATTAATTAGAGAATTCGCCGAGAGCAATTTCCCCGTGAATCTGACCTCCGCAATCATTCATTCGACCTGTGGGAACTCGGAGAGTACATTAAATAACTCTCTACACGTACCTTACATTATATAGCTCAGTTGGACATACCGAGGAATCAATCTGCTAATTCTCCTCTCAGCTTTATGAAAACCGCAATAAAACTTTTATGCTCCCAGAACTTTCAGGCGATCTCCTCTTTCTTCATGGCTCGGTAAAATAACCAATTCCAGTCAAAACAATCATAGAATTTTCCATTATCTTCAATCTGATAACTCAACAGTTTGCACTCTTAGAAAAAGAAATTAAATTCCATGGACAGTCAACTATTTATTTTAATTTTCAGGACAGTAGCTGCGAATTCGACTTAGGTATTAAATCGTCATGAAATTACCAATTTCTCTGGAAATTCAGTAAAATTACACAATCCTAAGGGACACGAGGATATAATAATTCCGTAATTCATCAAAATTTACAATAAAAAAATAGAAATAGAAGCAATAGGAATTTTTAAGCCGTGTAGGTTCATTTTCATATAAATTTTCTAGAATCAAAGGAAAATATTGATATTACCAGATTTGAAATATTGACCGTGAAAAATGAAGGATCAGAAGTTAGAAAGATTCTCTTTTAAGATAAATAATTGGTTTCCCTGATGACGTAGAATATGAAATGCCCTCGCATGTAGCTGCACCTCACGCTTTCACGAGCATTAACCCAGACAGGTTTAAACATAAATGTAATCATTGCATCCAGCGTGTTTAGCCACACGTAAATTTGATCTAGCGTTTGTTAGGGCAGTGAAGGGAGTGGCAATGTACAAAATTCATGTCTCATCCCCCGAATATAATCCATGTACCCAGAAATGAGCCAGTCCGGATCCATGGAGCCGTGCAATTTCATCGCTAGATCTAATTTACACCCGGCAATATTTCTTTCCTCGTCTTCATACACATTCACGTGCAACTCCAACCTCGCCAGGAACCAGGGGCAAATAGAATGGGCTTCAAGCATTTGATATTCCCCATGTACAGCTTGTACCATGGCACCATGGAACAAGGCTTCAACTTATATGAGGCTTCATCTGTCCGCAAATGCTATTTTATCAACAAAATAGGATGACGATTATTGACAATTGCGTCCGCTTCCCCGCGACCATTACTTGTACTGGCACTCGAATATCTGAGTGATTATTCCTTTAGGAAAAATTGTTTAGCGCAGGTATATATTGTCAGACTAGTATTACAACCCGATCACTTGATTCTACAAAATTTCCCCAACAAATTCCCCTGAATTTAAAATTTCCCCACTTCCCCATCAATTTTCAGTTTCACGGAGAAATACGCTCTATGAAGTTAATCAACATTTGTTAATTACCATTATCTTTTGACGAAATTATAAAAATTTTTGAATTATATATACTGTACTGGGGAAGACATTTCTTAACGTTAGAAAAATCATGGGTTTATATGACAAATGATTTTTCTAGATTCAAGAAAACTTCTAATTGTTTTGTCTGCAATTCTTTTTGTTGAAACTCAAGATTGATTTTACTGGGTTTTTTTGATAATTGAAGGGGATAATTGGAGGCAGTGAATTTTTGTTAGAAATTTATTTATTCGATGTGACAATTTGATGTACTTTTTCGGTTTATGTGGTGATATGAAGCGATTCGACACGAGTACGTGAGTCTAATTCTTGTTAAAATAAATAATTAATCGACTGAGACAATCAGGCCGCCCCCGTACTGCGGGCCACTTCCAGATCCATCCGGGCGTCCGCTCCATCTTTCTCGGTTTTTATTTTTATCATTTCTCCAGTTATTCCTTCATGCGAAATATAAACCAACACTGTCGCCATATTCCTGATTACATTATGCTTTTCATTCTCTTGATGATGACATTAAAAGCAGAAGTGGAATCTCTGAGAAATCTGATGAAGTGTTGGCCATATGGCACGAAGAGCTTTGGAGCGGATTCCACAGTCGGATCTACTCAAACCCTAACCGCCATACATAACTCTAATAATAAAATCTAAGATAAATAACAATTGATAATCATAAATTATTCAATGTCAACTCTTACGAGCGCCAATAACGCAAAAATAAATCAAGATTTTCAAAGAAATCTTTTAAGATTGATTTCAAATGCTCTAGGATTGCAGCAACTAATTTTATGGATTTCCTGTTGAACATGGAATTCGCCGAAAGAGGATAATGGTTCAGTAAAATTTTGAAGACATTTAAATTTATACAGATCTCAATAAAAACTCCTGCTACCAACGCGAAAATTTTATCAAAAAACATTTTATCACTCGCGCACTGACACTGGAATTTTTCTAGAGGATTTCTCTACGCATAAAATAATTTTCCCATGTTTTTTCTCACTCAGTGCTCTCTACCCCTCTAACCCAATCAGGAAATTTTGAAAAATGGGAAAACCCGCGTAATGTCTATTTGTTCAATGAGTCGACATGTTGCCACGGGAATAAAATATTTGCCTGCATTATTTATTGGTGAATAAATAAATTTGTTGGGGTAGAAAATGATCCTGAAGAATCGGGATTTTATCCCGAAATTTTAGTGACTGTTGCTTCAACAGATAATTTTGTTTCTCAGTAAAAACTCAACATAAGGGGAAAGAAGGCAGTGTTTCAAGAGCAGAGAAATTGAATTTTCCCCGGGTGGTCGTTCGTTATTACCCACCCCCGATTTTCCGGTAACATACACTGCAGTGACCCCAGAACGTCGTCGGTTCGACAATGGAAGCAATCGCTACTCGAATAACAAAAGGGTTTATACTTGTTGCGCCTTCTCCCACGTTTTTCTTCATCCAACGGAAGTTTTACATTTTAACCTCCAAAAAAAAAAGTAAATAATAAAAGAAACAAACCGAAACAGTGCTTGCGTTGGAGTCTTTGTTCACGGGAGACAATCGGCGAGGTAGTTCTTTTTTTTTTTTTTTACTATTTGCAAAGCGTGTCGGTGACAATTCAATGTGAAAAAGGGGGAGGGAATTGAAGTTCTTTTCAATGCTACTAGGTACAAACCCACGATCTCAAGGAGTCTATTTTATGAATGAGAACGTACGTATCGTTTTGAAAGGAAAGGTGTCGAGGGGTACAAAGACTCCTTATGCTCCGACAGTCGGCAAAAATTTTTAATCCACACTGGCTAGTTTCAAATTATTAATGGGAAACGGACAGAGAATGAAATGACAATCCGCTGATAACACGGTAAAAGTTTCGCGGAATCGCGGGAATGAGGGAAAAAGAGCATTGAGTGAAGCCCCACCCACCTCCATACTACATCAATAATCGCAAATGAATGCATCTAGCAATTTCCCGAACGGTATTCCGGAACTATAAGTGAACCATGTTGAACTGGAATTCTAGAGGTCGGTTGTGTGCGAATAGCGGCTCGATAAAACGTCCTGAGGGCCCAGCATGCAAAAATAAAAGAACTCGATAAATGGCCCCATGCCGGTACAGACCCCCAGAAGCTGTTTGAATGGCAGAATACACGACGCATAATATTTTCATTTTCTCCCTTAAAACTTTCTCTCCCGAGACTCCCACCAGCCCTCAAACCACCACACATTCCAAATCGAAAAACGAAAAGGCCCAGACGAGTCAAAAAGCTGAACAGAGTACCCGAGTAAAAGTCCCAATATAAATAAATTGAAGAAATAGTGAACTGCTCGATTCGCGCATGATTTAACTCCCCCTTCTGGCCCCCTCAAAAAAAAATCCATATTACGATGTACCCGGATATTACATTTTACACCCCTAATATCCCCCCTTTTACCCCTAAAGGATGGGGTAAGAGATTCCGGTTGAGCGACATTGACTTCACCACCGAGTGTCGCAATAAATTTACAAACACCGTTTTACGTGTCGGACAAGCTCGTGCAAGAACTCTTAATCTAGTTTGAAGAAAAAAAAAATCCCAAGTAAAAAAGGTGTTCAGATGCTTCCGGTTGGTTTGCTCCGGAGTCCACTCGTCATAAGAATAAAAAAGTCAGAGAAAATTCAACGACGATAAAGCTACCGAAGCACATTATGCAGTTTTCAAAAGGAGTGATAAAAAAAATGAAACGTTCATCTGTGGGGCGAGACTTGAGGCTTATCGCGTCCTATATTTTCCCCCTCCGGACGATTATCGAGCCCTCATCGAGCGAATAAAAAAAAAAGTAACTTTGATTAATGATGACCAAGAGAAAAATAAATAGAATAAATATACAATGACTGTTATATAATTGAGACAGAGTGTCTGAGTCTTTTAAAATCATAACGGCGCGTTTTACGAATGAGTTTTAATAATATTATTTTTGAAATGATCTTGATTGATGAATACACTAGTGCGGATGAGGGTTTTGACGGGACGTACCAAACAAACGTAGTGGTCACGCATAACGGCAGTTGCCTGTACGTCCCACCGGGCATCTTCAAGAGCACATGCAAGATAGACATCACTTGGTTCCCCTTTGACGACCAACACTGTGACATGAAGTTCGGATCCTGGACCTACGACGGCAACCAGGTACATCCAACTGTCCCACCAAAAACACATACACTTGCCAGAAACACCAGAATAATAAGCACCATTTCAAAAATTTCCTTCCACTCCAGTTGTCCCTCATCAACCACTCCAATTCACTGAATCAAGTGCCACTCATCAATTTATCCGATAATCAATCAACGGGACCGCTCGCTCATTTGGCTCCACTGACGATTGACGAAAATCTACTCACTCCTCCATTCTCTCACTGTTCAACGCATCGACAATCAGATATTCATCGACTGAAACTAGAAAAAAAAAATACTCTGATGGATCATACTGCTTAAAAAATTTAAAAAAAATCTTGGTGCTGAAAAAATATTTATTTCAGAAAACGTTTCCACGAAACGTTTCCCTCGATAGTGAATTGCTAATATTTTTTCATTGAGGATTCCAACAGAACATGAAGAATTCACTGAAATCAAGAACTCACGTAACACGTCATGATGAGCGGCTGCATATTTTCGAGAGGATCGAAAAAGTCTTGATCAATTGCATTCCACGTGTGAAACAAGTGGAATTATGTACCAGCAGCCCCGAAGTCTCCAACAATATCCAACACCAGGGAATGATTTAACTCCCGGAATATGCACAGGGTGCCTTCGTAAATAGTTAACTGCTCAAAAGTTCATCCTCAAGTTTTTCATTAATCGCCTTCATGAGTTACCCTTAAACACGCAATCTATATGCACTTGATAGCTATTTCGGCGGGATGCAGCTCAAGCTCTGCCGACGTTTCCATAATCCCCCGCGATTAGCACATCAAGAGTTGTCTCCTTCAAGCCCTCAATTTTCATCCAACTCTCCAACCCCCCTCATCTCATCAGGCTTGATGCCTTTTCACAACCTTCAGAGTTTGCCACCTATCACGCGACGAATAATGATAATCAGAGCACAGGTTGCTCGTCATGGCTCGTATAAGTTTGAGAATTACAGGTATCCCCGAGACGGGGCTCCATTCCAGCGAGATTCTGCGGGTTAATTACCAGTTATAATTCTTCGTTCTGTTGAGAGTTATTCATGAGACTCGTACCATCAGTGACTCGTACCATGCAGCAAATTACCAGTTGTCAAAATCAGGTCACACAATTCTCCAATTTTTAATAATTTTCAAGAAATTCCATAAAAATCCAGCATAACCCTTTTTTTCCTGTCAATCACAGCAAACGTAATCATAGCATTAAAATTCAGTAGAACTGAAAAAATCCCGGTTCTCACGTATTTCAAATAAAAATCAAAATATTCACTTGCCAACTCCCCATTGTTCCCTGATTTTTCCGCACCTCGGAATGTTCAATAATAAAATTCCCCGAATATCAGTCAAGCTCTCCCTCAATATTTCATCCCGAAATCAGTAAAATTCAGTAATAATTCTTTGAGAGCAGCAATTGAACTCGAGAGGTGAAACCTCGAAACCAGAACGCATCAATTGAATTTACGATAATGAAGACTATATAATAAGAATGCGAAGAATAGGATTGATTCGTGGAAAGAAAGGCGGCAGTGAACAATGGAGAAAAATGGATTGAGCTGGTAGAGTGACTCAGCCTGCCTCTTCAACGAGGAATTAAGTTTCCCTATCCGGGATGACCCAGGGTAACACGTTGGAACTCACGGAGGAATTCTCCAGATGGAATCGTCAATGGAGCCAATCATCGAGCGGCGCCACATGAAAAGAAGGGAAAAGGGGGGCGGGGGTGGGAATAACCCTCTGAACATAGTCCAGTCCTTTGACATTCATGATCCCGATTTCTCTTTGAATCATTGCAATCCTCACCTCTGTCACATGCTCTTCGCTGTTTCACTCTGTTTCTCTACGTCTGACTGCCCCGACACACCATAGCGCATATACATTAGCCACAGCTGTATAGATAGCCGTTTTCACGCTTCGTAGCTTCAAAGATATCAAATACCCTGTTTACTTTGGTTTATACCCACACAAAATATAATATAATATATTAGTTCCTGAGAGTGGACAAGTGAAAAAAATTATCGAGGACATTTCGATGCACAACTCCAAGATAAAGAATTGTAAAAAAAATAGTAGATGAATATCTCGAATAAACTCGAAGTAATTCCCACAAATTCGGCTCCTGGTTGATTCGGAATATGAATAAATAATGGCGGAGACTCGGTGTTAGACGAAACTTGGCATTTCTCCGGGTGAACGAATTACAAACTTTAGCGGAAGATGACGAAGTGCTGGAGAAAGCTTTTCCCGTTGACGGTAGTTACTGAGCTCCGGACACCTCGAACTCTGTTGCAGCCACTGGATGCGCTTCGATGTCTGTGCCAATCCAACTTATCAGATACTCTAATAGAACATCAGTCGTGACCCCCCTGGGAGGTAGTCCCGGGTCACCCGCGTTACCCGCGGATTCGAGAGACCAACATCGAATTACCGTCAAGTTAATTTCGTCCTGGGAATGATCTCGAGTGGAAATAATTCGCGGTATTCACGCTCTGCCAGTTGTCCATTCGTTTATTCGCGTATGAAAACCCCCTAAATCTGTAACTTTCGTAAATAGTAGCATTCGGAATTAACGAGTACGCGATCGCATTGTCTCGGGCGTAAAACTTGGGAAAATTTCATTATGACAACTCGAAAATTGCTGGGGACAATTGAGGATAGCATTTCTCGTATAACACTACAAAATTTTCGTTAATTACGTGAACATCACTAGTAGAATTGTCGCGGCAGGAGCGTACGAGAAAAGCAATTGGATTGTGTTCTGAACGGGTTGAATTATCATGTAACGAGAAAATGTTGAATCTCATTTCCTCTCGCCGCTTGTTAATCTCATTATTAAAATGCAATTTATCGTTGTGTCCTCGATCAACTGTTTGTCCACCTCGCGTTATTTGCGGGCTGTCAAAACCACACGACTAACGCAACGATCCCAGTCCAACTTGTTCTGTTAGATTATTTAATTTCAAGCCCCATACAATAAATGCTGAAAAATCGGGTGAAATACATGGCAATAATTACAAATAGAGATCGCTGTGGATTGGCTGATACGCTTGCCGATGTTGTTTGCTTCACGCGCATATCGACTTATTATATATGTATACGAAGGACACGGAATAACTTGAAGTCATCAGTAAACTTGTTCAACAAATTTCTCCCGAATAAAACGGTTTTCCATCATTTTAAGTTAAGAATAAGATCAAATTTCACTACACACACTAACACACATACATCGTCGAGTCAAAGCAGGGACCACGTGATTATGTCTGAGCTGGGAACCATGATTTTGCATGGAGCAACTGTCACGACGCTCTCCCATCGACTCGACAATTTTCCCTACCTCAATCCCAAAATCTATTTTTTTTTATTAATCAATGCTCGCAGATGATCTCATCCTCCATCTTGATTTATATTGAATTCATTATGTACGCGTTCTCGAGTAAATGAGAATGTAACAGAAGTATTGAGACATAAAGAATTTTCCTATCAGGCGAGAGCACAAAGGTTGACGATACGATTGTTGCTCCATCGATTCTGAGACTCGAACTGCCCCCCGACCATGACGTCCACAATATCAGAACCGCCATGCAACAACTACTGCACATCTCTCACAGTTTATCATTCGTCGAAGGTAGAAAATAGAGATAACCGCTCTGGGAGCCCCTAGGCTCTGAGTATGCCCAGCTGACGTGTAGATCCACTGAAAAACCACAACTATTCATCTCAGTTTCTCAAAAGACGAGTTAAACATAAAAATCTCTAGTTGCCTCCAATGAATATCCGTATAACAATTTTTCCAAGCTTTTATATTCCAGAAAATATTCCAGAAGAAAATTCCTAAAGCCGTTTAATCCTGGAAATTTCAAAATTAGTTTTAATTAAACGCGAATTCCTTTTCTCTCGAGATCCGTCATCGCACGGTTTCATTATTCACGTGAAACTGTTGGCCATTGAAGTTACGGTCAGCAAAATTTTTTAATAGCCCATTATGATTAAATTTCGAGAAAAAATGACTCGAATCTACGCATGAGGCCGTCAAGATGCCATTCAGTTACGCCACTGAATAATGAGTAATGAATGTCAAACTTTTTGGATTATCCCTCAGGGCTTTGCTACATTGAGTTCCAGGAAATCCAAAGTTGGATCGATTAATATCAACTCCTTCCCAAATCATTGATTCAAGTCCATCAATTCCGAAAGGAACAACAGATGAATCAGAAACGTTGCGCTAACGACAGCGGATCAATGGGATTTCCGTTGATAGTGTTATCGTGGATGAAAGGCCACATCAACCGATCAATGCCTATCAATCGGTGAATGTATCCCAGATAATTTTCACAGCAGCACTGAGTGTTTGATTGTCCTGGGCGGAAAGAGTCGTTCATCAATGTCCCAAAATTCGTGAACACCCACTACTCCCAGAGATCACCTGCGACCATTAATATTATTCTTACTTCAAACCTTCCCACAATTTTTTTCGATTAATTCTCGAGACAAGTTCATCTGCAGTGTTACGTTCCTTTGTACTTCCTCACCACATCCAAATGGCATCAATGCCTGATCTTTTCATCAGCTTCCCCGAAAAAAAAACCCAGTGGAGTCCATTGCTGAGCGTCGATCCATGCCAGCAGACAGACGAGTCCTCCCTCTCTCTGAATTCCCCATCGGGAATTCAAAGCAACATTTGAATCTGTGAATGATTATCCATAAATTCAATTACATCTCATCAAAATTTATTCATGAATTAAAAGCTTCATCGCTCGAGCTTTGCGCCAAATTTTAATCGCTTGGCTTTTTTCACTCACTTGATCCATCAGTTAATAAATTTTGATGACATCCAGACATATTCCTATGGGGAATTCATGCTGAGTGAGTACTCGCCCTGCTAAAAGCTTAGGCTAAGTTCGTATGTACCTCGCACACACCCGAAACCATCTCTCGATGCCTTCGTTGACGCACGGAAAAAATATGAATATCCTGATGAGTGAAAAAAAAAATCAATGAAAATAATACAAAGTAGCGATGGCTATCAGGGCCAGTCCAGTGAAGCATATGGAGTATTCGAGGATTATCAGTAATATTCCATGTTCTCTTCCTTTAGTTCTGCTCTCGAAACGGGCACTGAAATACTGGTATAGTTCAAACCAATAACAATAATAATACATTCTATACCGAAATATTCGTGGACGCTTCTACCATGAAGGATATTCAAGTTTAATGTGTTGTGTATCTTTTTTTTTTCTCCCTTCTCCTCCCCCAATTTTTCTTCATGCACATACGCAACGGAGCGAATGAGAGATCTGTGGAAAGAGACTACGTTGCTCTAAAGAAAATAGGCGAATAAAAATATATGGGAATAAAAATTGGGGAAAAGTCACGTGAAGCATGTATTTGCGCAGCGGTTGATTCCTGGCGAATTGGAAAGCAAATAGTCCGCTGGGAGAAAACTGCTGCCATGAGATCCACATGCTGTTGAAAAAAAAAATCTATCGACTTGAAGGATACAGTGGGCTATATTATGTCACTGGGATTTTATATGCCATAGCTTTGTCATTTCGCGATCTTCTCAAATTTATAGCTTACACTTTCCGGGACGACTCGGGATTCTGGATACTAATTTTTTCATTTTCTCGGGATCCGGAGGATTCAGAAATTTAATCAAATCGTTGTACAAGTGGGGAAATGCAATCTCGTTATTTTTAACTCAAATGTTAATCCACATGGGTGAAATTGTGGGACAGATCGATGGAGAAATTACATCTACTGTCTCCTAACTCTCCTAGAAGTGCAGACGCTCGTGAAAACTAAGAAGTCCGAGTGGCAGTTCCGCGGACCTTTCACCTGTTGCATAATGCCCTCCAGTCTTCTCTTATTTTTACGACGTGTACTCACGAAATTCCCGACCATCACTGAGAAATTTACTTCGTGCCCGTTTCACATGAGCCTAAAACGTTTCCCGAATATCCGTCAATAGTCTGCAATTAGAAAATAAATCTTCTGCAAAGACCATTCAGTTGGCGTTAAAGAAAAATGTCTTGTGTATTTTAGTAATGGTGAAAATGTGGAAAAAGTCTTTGAAGAGAATGACATTCTTTCCTCAGAATTTTTTCAATTTACGACGGAATATTTTCCGGTGTCAAATGCATATTTGGAATGCAGGTGGAAGACAATTTGTCATGAATTGAAGAAGACGAACATGAGAATGCAGGGAGTAAAGTTTATACTGAAATATGTCCTGATATTGCAATAAAAAAATATATTTCAAATTACCATTATTTACCAAAAATTCCACACAATGTCATAATTCTACCAACAACACTGCAATGAAAATGATCATTGTTATTATCAAAATTGCAATGTTCATGATAGATTTGAAAGTAATTCCCCTTCATTCCCCTCCACAAAAAAGAGAATTGATCAAACTCAAATCCAAAGTTTATCATTATCATATAAATAAATTTCCACAATGAAGGATTATATTTTTTCAATTTTTGTGCCTTGAGTAAGGTAAGATCGATTTGATAAATGCTAATTAATGATTATTCCTCAAATATTATCGAGTGTGTGCGAGGCAGATGCATTCGGATGCGCTCTTACTTGCGTGCCCCTCAACGCACCGATGCAGAGAATAGTTCACTGAAAAAAAAAGGAAAAAAAAAAAAGAGAAATAGGTACAGCGCAGTGCGAGTGAGCCTGGGCACCCATGTAAGACCACATACCGGACATTACACCCTTACTTAAACCCAACTACTTGCAACCCACTCGTATCGGTTAATAACGATGTCAACATGAAAGCTTGAAGCTTCTCCAGTGTTCCAACCAGTTCTGTGTGTGTTACTATTTATCAATTGATGTTTATTTACTTTCACCTGTTAATTGTCATTTAATTTTTGTAATATGGGACATCCCGTTGTGCCAATTGACCGGTCGTGCTTCGTGCTTTGGCGCTTGCGCACAGCAGGAATTTCGGCCAATTATAAATCGCTCAATGGAAGGCACATGCAGACTAAATTAGCACGAAGTCGCGCGTTTGTTCCATTTCAATTTGATGTGGCGTTTTATGACTCTCGATGAATGCGAAATGGTAACAACGGGTGACAGGGGAAAACTTAAATCTTCACGAGATCCAAACGCCCGGAGAGAGTACCATCGTACAATAACATTTCACACATTAAAATAATTGTTTACCATTCGAATTACGAGTTCATTGCAATGAGACATGAGAGTACGCGTAAAAAGTTTTACGCATAAAGTTAGCGGAAATCTTACTCTCGACAACTTGATTTTCGTGCATCACCTTTAATAGATAGGATAGATAGGATTTATTGCAATATAAACATTTAATTCTAGATAGATTAATTTACGGATAGGAACCGCCATAACTTCTTGCGATAAATATTTTTTTTCATTTTTCCGGGGGGATTTTATCGCCCAAAGTAGTCCGACCTAAGCCCCACGATTAAGTGAATTGTCCGAGAATTAGTCAGACGATCCCGTAATTTACGGTGGCCTAATCCCCAGCACGTCGTGAACACCGGAACCATATCCTTCCTCGTCCATTAAAATACCGAGAAGGCGCGACGAAAAATTTACAGTAAAATTTGCAATAATAGTGCAAAATAGTGATAGTAATCGTAATATAAAAAGGACAAAAAAGAAATGTCTCGAATGACCGGGAGAATAAGATCCGTGAGACGAAATCGACTCGCCATCACAACGCAGAAAATGGACGAAGGGATTTTAAAAATTACAAAAAAATAAACAATTTAAAAAAAACAGGAAAATAAGAAAACATCGCGGAGAATCATCACCAAGAGAAGTTCCAAATTATTTCAGGAATTTGACCCGTGGAAAACGGTTGGCAGGAAAAATTCCTTTTCTCCCTAAACGGTGTGTAAATTATACTCTGAATTCCAGTCTTCGTCACGTATTGTTCGAATTGATTGAATCCTCGGAAGAACAGACTATGGACACGTCAAAAAATACCTGAGGATGAATCTCCTCGCATTAAAGGTCATGCCAAGATTTACTGCAGATGAATTTCAGTATTGAATCCCTCGATAGACGCTAGGAGCGTGGATTCAGTCTGGGGGAGGACATTTACAGCTTTCCGTTTGCCCACTTTCATTTCATGACCCGAAATTTACGAGCCGAACACGCCACCGTGACTCTAACAAAATCGAAGCCTGTAGCATTGCCAATACTCTCTCCGGTGCGATCAAACAGCCCCTCCATTTTCTATTCACTCTGTATCGATACGTTTTCCACTGCCACCCATTGCCAAACTCGCAATGTACATCTCCTCTCACCACTATAGAAATTCAGTGGGGTTCATCAGGAATCAGAATGACGCATCGATTGACTCTTACTGAATCATTATACATAATCCTTACCCCCGACCTCAACAATCCTCCAACCAAACTGAAAATTTTGTCATTTTTCAGTGAAGATCAATAAATCAAGTGCAAGAGTGTTATTGTTGTTGCTGCATGATTTACCGATTATTTAGTCATCATTTATGGATTTTATCTCTTACATTTTGATCAAGACATTTTCTTTGCATCTCATTGTACGAAGAAATAATTACTTTCAGGACAAATCACTATTTATTTCGGGTATAATTCGTAATTATTCAAAATTGTTCGAGATAAATTGCATCGATTAGAGATTTTAAAAATGTTCTTTAAAATTTAAAGGGTAGACAAGGGCTTTGGCAAATTAAGGCATGATTTTCTGGGAGTAAGGAATATCTTTCGTCGAAGTAATCGCAATTATTACAATATTTATTTAATGAATGGAGGCATTCTGTGGGCTGGAGTATATTTTCTGTTGTTCGATATTTGAATTAACCTGACAATACTTGTTGAAACAATTAATGCACCTGAGACGGGTCATTAAGGGCACTTGTCTCATCCGCGGTCATTATCGATGCCCTGAATTTCAAAGAAACCCTCGGCATCGACCTCCGTGCAGAGCACAAATAGTTTTTGCTGATTTAGCTGCTAACACGCGTGTGCCTCCATTCATTGGTTGAGAAATCAACCCTCGAAGGTATCAAATGCTCGGAAATGACTATTCTGTCGGCATCTTCGATGTCAGTGCCAGAGACTCATCCCCTCGTAATTCCGAAATTTATTTACCCACGTAATTGGCGATAATTTTAATCACATGCTCTTTTAAATTATCCGCCAGTCCGAACGCAATTTAAATATCATTAAAAACTATCCTTAATGGCAGGGCAACATTTCACTCCAGATTTTTCACTCCACTGCTGGCGCATTTAATGAACGACAACGCCATTTTTCATCATTAAATAGAATTTTAATATTTTTAATCTCTGGAGAGACGATTGCTTGGAATCGCAATAATGTGTTCAGAATTATCTTTTTTTTTCACTATATCCCGGAAGAAAAATAGGGAAAAATCGGACATTATTATTTTTTTTTAAATCTTCATTTTTAGGGAAAGTTTAAAAATCATTTTTCAATAAAATATCTAGATGCATTCAGAGTGATGAAACCGGGGCAGGAAAAATAGTGAAAAATATATTAAAAATATATAATTTATGTGTGATATAGGAAATATATAAAAAATGTATAAAAAATATATGAAAAATATATGAAAAATATATAATTTATGTGTGATATGGGAAATAATTTGGTATTCATTGCACGGGCGTATCAAGTTATGGGGTAATGCAAGAGGCAATTTATCTCGGGATGCTCTTGTTTATACTCTCTTGCACTGTCACCAAAGTTGGCCGACTCGATCCCGAGATATCAGATGCTAGAAAATCTTGGAAACACTGTTTCTGAAATATAAAATGGCACGTTTCACAAGCATGGTATGAAGTATGGTCAGGTATTCGTTGTATGCAGCACGAAGTAGAGTAATGTTCTTTTTCTTTTAATCGAACTTTGAAATTGGTAGCTCGATCTCATACTCAACTCGGAGGAGGGAGGTGACTTGTCCGATTTCATCACGAACGGGGAGTGGGACCTCATCGGTGAGTCTGATTGCACCCGAGTTCGCGGCTTTTACGACGAGCCACGCACTCGTCAGGTGCGTAATTGTGCGCACGTGCTGTATACCGGGAAATCATTACTAATCAAAATATTTATATTTTCGATGAGTGATGACTTTACTCTATACTCCAGTAAATAAAATTGCTCGCGATACTCTTTGGGGGAGGTAATGGAAGAATATTCAGATATTTTTCATTACCCTCGCGAAGTTCCGCTCATCATAATTGAGAAATCATGAAATAATTAAATCATGAAATCATGAAATTAACAATCGCCCGACAATTACCCGTGGTTGTACTAATTCAAAAAAGCTCAGTCAAAAAAATGAATATTTTATTTGAGAATTCAAGGGTCTCGACTTGATATTTGAAAATTCCAAGTCCTTTCAAATCTTATGTTGATATTTTTCTTCAATTCAAATTTGTAATAATAAGGGGTTTCAAAATTTTTTATAATTATAAGGATTCTGTTTTTGGGTGTCCACTATCAATCGAGAGATTGAAATCATCGAGTCCTTGAGCGGAGAATTCACTGAAGTCAAAGCCTCTGAAATAAAAAAATTGCAACATGAGACTAAAAATATGAAAATAAATAAAAATAATTTTGAACGTACGTCACGAACAAATAAATTAGAATAATTGATTCGTAAAAATCTCCACGACGCGATAACCCGGATTTTCTCCAATTGAATTAGTCTCAACATGAATTCCCCATTTTCAAAGTTGCCCGTGCAACTATCGATTAATGTGAGTAGTTTTTCTAACGTTCGAACGTCGGGGCTCACACAATTGCCAGGGGATGGCCCCCCAGCACTAGGTAATAAACCACAACAGAAAATAGAATCGAATATTATTTTCGATTATAAGAATCGAGAGGCACGAGCCACGCGCCGCCATCAACTCCTGGATTTTCCAGAGGGATGCGCTAAAATCCAGTCCCCTGCTTTCCCTAGACGGGTAATTCGCGATAAGGGATGAAACTTTCTATCTCCCCTTCATCCCCTTGAAGTGGAAACTCTTTATCCGCTCTACTCACAACTTTTTTTACCACTAGATTTTTTCAAAACGAATATAGTACACTCCACACGTTCTCCATTAAATCTCAAAAATTCCCTCGCAGTACACGAAGAAAGTTTCATCCCGTTGTCGAGAGCTGCGCAACATCCGGTTTAAATACTCCCGTAAACAAATAAAATGATGCGTGACGCTGAAAAAATATTCTGAATAAATGCTCCAGAGCATAACGTTATTTGATTTGCAGGAATGCCTGGCAAGAAGAACACGATAATTTATCAGTGCTGTCCAGAGCCGTACGTCGATGTTACCTTTACGATACACATTCGCAGGAGGACATTGTATTATTTCTTCAATCTTATTGTGCCATGTGTACTTATATCGAGTATGGCACTACTTGGTTTTACGCTGCCACCAGACTCCGGGGAAAAGCTCACCCTAGGTAATGATATTCAACTTTTACGCACGTCAAAAATGCTTGCTGTGTTACTTTACGCTACCCCACTGGGTAGTCTGAGCTTTTGTATATTTAAAAAACACTGTTCCTTTTCGAGGTTGACATTTTAAGAATCTCGGACTAAAATCACTGGCGCCAGTCAATTGCTATTTTTTTCCACTGAATTTTTCCCCAGAAATTTTATCGAATTTCTTCAAAAAAATAATAGAAAAATCGTGAGGAACAAATTCAAACAGCAGATATTCAATTTTTTGGGATTATTTAATGGAATATGAAATACGATCAGTCCAAAAAATGAGACGATTTTCCAGGGTAAATGTGTGGCGGGCAATTTAGAAATTTCAGTTAAATTTTGGTCTTGTAATTTTGTAATTTTCTCAAAAACTCATGAAATCGTAAATCACGCTGAAAAATTCATTGAATTGTCAATGTTTGAGCAGCAAGGAGATGAGAATTCCCCAGCACACCTGAATTTTCAATAAACACATGAATATTCACTGCCAAATTACACAGAGTTTGCAATCAATAAAAAACTTGCGAAAACAATACCGCAAATTTCCATGATTTGCATAAATTTCAATTTTTTCAATGTAATTTCAAAACTTTGGACAGTGGAAGCCGGATTTTTCGAAAAAGCAAATAACGCAAATATTCTGAGTAAAAATGACAGCCTCGAAGCTCATTATTTACCTTCCGTCACATTTCTCCCTAGGCACTGTTTTACTCTGTTGGTTAAGTTATTTTCTTTGATATGTGATAATAAATGACCAAATAAAAGAGGGAAAAACTAATCAAGCTGGATAAATCACTTATGATAAATAGTGGTTGGATCGTTCGAGAGGGCGCTCGGCTGATCCGCAACGCGGAGAAATTTGTGAAGCAAATTTGCCGTACCGTGGTAGAAAGGGAGCTATAGTATGTTTCAAAAATTAATGGAATGAATATCTCCGGGTGCTGCACCTTCCTCCTGTTATCATGACTGGAAAAAAAAGAATACGTGGGGGTGGGAAATGATGTGAAACGAATAGTCCAATTTGTTGGGATAGAAATCGCCCTCGAAACCGATCAACCAACCGACCAACCAACCGACCAACCAAACCCACAGTTTTAGCTGCGTAGTTCATGTACAGCTGTTATATATTTACGATCGTCACATGTACAAGGAAAAATGATGGATTCTCCGGTCTCCACTGAGTTGTTTTACTTCCCCGAAATGTTCATGCACCACTGAGTTTGTTCTCAAAGGTAATCTCCAGACTGGCTCAATGGTTTTCCTAGATACAGAGGAACTTGATACCTTCAACCCGCATATTCACGAGTGCAGCTGGGGGTCTGTGAGGGCACGTGATTTGAATTTTCCTTCGGAACATCATTTTTTCAAGCGAATACCTCTCCTTGCAATAAAAGAAATCCTCTTAAAAAAACTTCTGGAAACTTGAGAAAATTCCACATCTTTCCAAAAACTCGGAAAAGCTTTCAGGTGTTCTCTAAAATTTGAGAAAATTCCGTGATATCTCGCTCGTGATTACATAAAGAAAGTCTTTCTATTCAGTAAAATTCGCAATCCATTCAAAAAAAAATTGAGGAAATGTATCCGATGCAGTTTTCTCATTTTTCTTTCACATTTCCGGTCCATTGCTGGCGAAACGGTCGAGATATCTCGGAGAAGTTTTGTAAACCTCTGCAGCCCCTTACGGAAAACATGAAGGGTGTGAATTTGTTTTACGGCTATTTTCACGGTGAAAACGAGCGGTCAGGGATGATTGGATAGGAAGATTACCTCAGACACAGATGGAAAGCCGCAGCCCTGGCAAACTTCCGGTATACACTGGAGGTATAGGATAAAGTATTCGTTAAAAAGAAATAAAAAATACCATTCGCTTCTTCTCCATTGTTTTCTCGGATGATCATTAGAGCTTTGAAGGACGTTTGCGAGACATCAAATTGAACCAGGGCTCTCAATTAGTTTGATTAAATTTTTCAAAATAACAGAGACGATCAGGCGATTCGTGGTCCAGGTCAGGTCAACAGAGTTCTGTCAACTCTCTGAATAATAATGCATAACTTTTGATTCGTATTCGACAATAATATTCCCATTGGTGTTCTCTTGCCTAAAGAATTTTAAAGAAGAGACAGTCGAGACTGCTTTTTTCATCGTAACGAGTTTTCCGGAGTATATTTAATGCTGCTTTCTTGTCACAATTTCCCTCAACACTTTGAAAAGACCGAGCTGAGAAAGGTTCTTACATCTCAGAAAGCTCCTTTCCGCTCTCTCCTCATCACCAGCGACAACTCTCTACCTTACATCTAAGTGACAGTACTTTCTCACCTTCTTTCTGATTCTCAAGTGCACCATCTCCACCACTCGCATCTTTTACGATTCAATCCATGCATCGTTTATTGCAAACATCCTCGACAGTACTCCAACATTTGAGGGAAGTGGAACCTCACGTTTTCTGTTGATGTCATTGAGGATTGCGGAGGAGATAAATCTTCATTCAGGTCTCAACTCATTAAGGAATTAACACCAGGCGTGTGTCACAATCGGCATGCATCCTCTCGATATTTTTTGGCACTGTGCTTATCTTGTGGAGCTTTGCGGTAGTAATCAACCTTACGTCCCGAATTTCCATGATGCAAATTCGCGGAGGGGGAGTGAACATCAGGATAATGTGGGTATGAGCTGGTTCCAGTGAAATTCTATAATAGAGCAAACATTTCCGGTAATAAGAGTACTGTGGCTGCGTGATTTATAAATGTTGTTGTGCTGTGGTGAATCGGCACAGCCGCAAGTGCGATGGTGCCAGATGGCTGCGAAGAGTAGTGGCTAGATCGATTCTCATTCTTGGGTACTGCAAGTCCTGCACCTCATCGGTTAGCTGATATTTTCAAGTACTGGATATTTTTCATGAAGCCTGTCCTTAACATCCATACACACATCGATTCCACTCCGTCGAGATCAATAATTTTTGAATGTGTGGATTCTAATTCATTGGTCTTCATTTTTTATTTGAATTTTGCGCAATGATCGCAAGTCTGTTGCAGTTATTGAATTGATTTGAGCTCTTCAGAGGTTTTAAGATACACGAGAAATTTTCAGCAAAAAATTTTATCCTGAATCAAATGCCCATTTGCTAAATGGAAAATAGGTACTTACTCACAGGCACCACTGAAATCTCCAGAAATTTCAAACAGTGTAGCCCGTAAAATCCTTAAAGCCATTCAAGAGCCCTCAACTATTGAATAATTGAACACAATGTTCAGTTAGTTTTGCACAAACTATATTCAAACGATAATACAAGTTTCATCATCAGAAGATATCTCAGAAAAACAATGCCCGACTCTAAAGATCGTCGTGAATTTCATTGAATATCATGATAATGAAATTCCCCTGAATATTCACTCCCGCAATGATGGAAAATAAGTCTTAAACTGTAGGAAGTCTTCCCAACGTCTTCACGCCATGGTAATTCGTGCATAAATTCGATATGTTGGCAAGTAACAGCAGCTCTCGTGTTTCGTAATTGGCTCCGTACCCAATTAGATTGCAACAGTCTGATTAAGCTTACGTTCCATTTCTCCAGCAGCCTTTCAACATGCACCGACAGCCTTAAAACCATAACCGCAAAACAGTATTTCAACATTTACTTAATAGCATTTGCCGAGTTGGGGGGTGCTGATTACGACAGGGGTTAACCGATGTCTAATGAATCAACGTTCAGTTGATTTTAGTTTTTATCGCTAGAATTTAATACATGGAACTATTCAAGGAACTTTTCATTTCAAACTACGTGAACTTATTTCCCCTTTCATCTTGACAAGGGCACGTTAAACTCCATGCCGCGTTAGCCGTTATATCTTGTTTGGGGTAAACAACAATATTCTACCTCAGCATTGCCGTGTTTCTGCATGCACTTTTCTTCTCTTCAGCCCACTTCACCAACCCCTATCCCCTACCACCCTACATTTTTTTTTGGTGTACTCTCTATTCTAGGGCTTTCTGCTAGTCGTCTGGAAAGGGAAACCCGAGGAGAACTTAATTATGTCTGAGAGATCGGGTTTTTTTCTAACGTACTGCACCATTCTCTTCCATGAATTTAATTTCCATATTATCAGGGCTCTCGAATCAACCTACAGACAGAGCAGATATTGCATTACGCTCACCTTTGCGAAATTATCCACAAGTTCCTCTATAATTTCAAACAAGTGCATTTATAACTTGATGAGGTATGACTTACCGATTGGTCCCAACTTTGACATTTTCGATATTCAATATCTGACGGATCATGAAGACGTGGATTTAGGATCTTTTGTAATCTTTATCTCAGAAATTCTCTGTGTCAATATTCAAGGCTCGAGACAATTAGGAAATTTCCTAGCATCAGCAATCGATACAGAATAACATCATCGATTAGTCCACGCTGGTCATTTATTTCCGGATTCATTTCCTTGACTTAATAATTAATCGTGTTATACATTTGAAATCCACCTGGGGATAATTTATTTTCTCCATCGATGTCTCAGGACGTCAGGCATTTTTGGTGTGCGGAATAATCCAGCAGTTGAAATTTTGCGAACTCGATGATCACGGGGTTCCCCAAATTGTCTGTATCAATTAAAATACTCGAATTACTGACCGATGAAAAAATGGACCTCTCACCCGGTCAATATGTCCGGTAGTTTCAAACTGGAAGTTATTCCTGTTGCTCCATGTGCGTGAAATTCATCATGGAATTTACTCCCATCGGTCATTGATCCAGAAATAAAATTTTCATTACACCCATCGCAAAATAAAATTCTCTGATACGGTGGGAGAATGCGAAGTACCATGAACGCTTCGATATGAGAACTTCAATAAAATTCGTTCAAAATTCCAGGAGAATGTGCGATCGCTAATAGTTACTCTGGCAGCGAAGCTATTCCCATTAACCTCTGGCAAGACTCACTATTTTCCTCGGGCTCTATCTCTCTCTATCTCTCATTACCGTTTGTGTTTGTACACCTGGAAAGTGGAAACCGGAAACCAATTGTAAGGAGACTAATTGGATACCTCCGGTCCTTAGCAAGAACTGGACTTGAATTATCAGGCTGGCTAGCCGCTACTGCCAAACTTCCCACTAATTCCACGATCATCCTTCCTTTTCACTTTTATCCATCAACAATTCCAGATGTTGTTAATCCCATCGAACACCTTGCACTGGTCTCCAAATAGGAGTACAAAAAGGAATTGCTTGTTTATTTCGATATTCTTGAGGAATTACTGAAAGGTAAACTCAAATGTTCTCAGTGACGGTGAAGCTAATGAATTTTCTTCAGAAATTACATCCATAATTAACATTAACCCACTTTTCGTTTTTTGATCTGCCAATTGCGCTGTATACAATATAAGTAATAAAAATTCTTATTTCGAAAAAAATTGGATTTTGGAAAATCATAACAAACTCTTTGTTTTTTTTTTGTTTCTCTGAAAATAAATGATTTTCCACGGGATTCAAGTGGAACTCACTCCAGAGCTATTGAAACCTCGTAAATTAAAAATCAGAATTGCAAGTTGGATGAGTAAATTAGTAAGTGCAATTATTTATCCGAATAAGGCACATCAACGTTTACTTTTAGCATAATTGTCTTAAATTGAGTATTCAATTTTCTTCAGAGCCGGATAAAAGTCATTCATTCGGACAATCTTATGATCATTAATTTCCATTAACATGGAATGCTAGAATGAATCGAGATTTACCTGGAAAAAAAGTAAGAGTTTCTTCTCGACAGGACTTACGCTGTCGAAATCAATACTCTGCCATTTGCCTGCAATTCCAAGAGTTTTCCGGATTGAATACTCGTGTCAGCACATTCCAATTACCAAATTCTCCACTCTCACTTCAATTAATCAGCCATTTTCTTCAATTTCCCCCGACTATGGCAAGAGATCCGACGATTTATCGAATGATAAACGCATCGTTTATCACCAGAAGTTGCGACAGAATCGCTCTCATGCACCACTATTCTCTTTATCCATTTTGTGTTATCGAATCGAGTAAACCTCCTCACAAAATAAACTCGTCGTAAACTGTCGAGGTTGGATTTCCGCTGACAAGAGCGACAATAGGGCGTTGTATGCCGTCGACAGTTCTCGTCAGTATGCAGGCAATATGCAGTGGCTATGTACCAGAATTGTGTCGTGAAACATTTTCCCGAGTGCTACATAAACTGAATATATTCTGAATACTGTACAAACTCTTTTCGCCTCTTGCGATCTCACCCGATGTACCATCAAACGCTTTAGCCTTGCACCGTCACTTTCAGAAATTTTCCCCATCACACAAGAGTGTCCAGAGACTCTTAAATCGCTGAGTTTACCAAATTTTTCAAACATTCTCAGTTTTAAAAAGAAAGTAGAGTAAAAAGTGAAATGGTAGGAGAAGCAGGAGCATATCAAGTGGTGTTACACAAAAACCGAAGAGAGTAGGGAATAGTTTAAAAAAATAAATCAACAAAGGCCAACGTCAATTTTCATAGTGACTCTATTTATTCTCGGCTATCTGCAGGAGTGACCATTCTACTGTCGCTGACAGTCTTCCTGAACCTCGTTGCCGAGAGCATGCCGACAACGTCGGACGCTGTCCCATTAATAGGTATTGCATTTTCACTTGTGCCCTCTAGTACTTTTGCCCGATATAAAGCCCTACAGTGGTTTTTATAGTATATTACGTATGTATTTATGTCTTATGTGTGGATGTGTATGAGTGCTACGCCTAGCTAAAACTTCCCCGGGAATGATCGCACAGGACAATAAACCCGGGTGAGGTAGAGTGCCGGATGACAATGGTGAGGTGATCCTCCCTTAGGCGTCAGCCCACCACCAACCCCCTGTCTCTTTAATACTACGTGTCGGTAGATAGCAACTCCTCCCTCCATTACCGACCCTTAGCATCATGATGTCCTGGTTGGAGGACCTCGGAGGACGCTGAGATGATGTCGTTTACCTGGTGGAGATAAAGAAAGAGAAAAGTTACTCGGTGATTATTTCGTGGGGACAAGTTTCCCCTATTTCAGGGAAGGAAAATTCGAGGGCTAAGGATGAGAACGTGGCTTTCAGGTAGCCGTAGGTTTAGTCCCGGGGATCAATAGAGGTTTCCATTCATGAGTTGTTACACACCCTCGGGTTGCCATTGCTACAGGGTTATTGCGGAGAGGTGGTGCCAATCTTGTGGATGCTGTTTAATAGGATTTTAGGAGTTTTGTAGATTTTTTTATTGAGGGGATACTGCATGATCTTAGATGATTAGATGACTGACGGAGAGGTCCAGTGAGAATATGCACATTTTTTTTCAGTGCTTGATCACTGGTGGTCGTGAAAAGAGAAATTAATTGAGTATTGACAGACAATTTTTTTAAAATATTTAATCCTCACAGAAAAGTCCTTCCGAATTTTTGACTTCTCCATAAATCTAGACTCATTTCAATTAATCATTCTCATCTCAAAGCTCCCTGCTAAAATTCTCCAAAAACTTGTCCTAAAAATGACCAGTTTTTTATTATAGTTATATTCATTGGAATTACAATTGTTAAATGTTCAATATCATTGGATCTCTCTGTATGACTGAACTCTAGAGATTGATAATGAATTTATCATCGAGTGATGAAGGTATAGCTCGCTTCAGCGTCCAACGACCTCAATTCTTAATCATATATATATTTCATGCAGACCCAACTCATCCTTTTGTCGAACTAATATTCCTCGAAATATTTCCACAATGACGGAATATTATTTCACATTCACACTCATGTATATACCACGCTCTTCCTTGTTATATTCGTCCAAATGAAACAGCTGGTAGACCGTGTCAATTGTAGTTTCCCGAGGTCGTTCTCCCCGATGATACGTCACACTTTCCTCCAGCACACGTTTCCTTGTATTGAGTCTGTGAATATGAGGGATCAGTCCTATTTTGGTGATTGCTTTTTTTTTTCTTAACCAGAGAGAGAGAGAACATTTTCGCGGAAATACGGATTGAGAATTTAAAATGTTCTGGAGATGTGGCAAATGGCGTGCTATTTTGCCTTATCGATGTCAACGTTTAAATTTGAATTAAGGAAATTGTGGTGTGGTTGTTGTGAGGCCATTAAATACGAAACTCAAGCACGGATATTCTCGATTCATCGCATTACGATTAAGATACTGCTTCAATTATGTCTCCACAATCCCCTTAAGAACTTGGGGGAAATGGGAAGATCGTAAACTCGGGATTTCATGCGCTGTGACATGATGCGAGGAAAACGAACGCCCAATCCAACGATAGTGGCTTTAAACCTTAAATATAAATGTATTAAAACAACTACTAAAAGATTTTTATTATAAATATTCATGGAATAAATTGAACAATTTTTCATACTCTTATGTTGACCTATTATTTGATGTTTGTTCTGTTATTTCTACACTGTAACCGGAAGTCTGTATATTTTTGTAATATTATTTATGTATGCGTTTTTAGTGGTTACATTGGTTCCTCTCTAATCATAGTACTCTACATCTAAGGACTCAATAAGATGAAACCGGAACCGAATATTCAATTAAATACAATGATTTTTACGATGTCATCGCATGAATCTCGCAATTTCATATTTTTACATCAACAGTTCATCAATTGGTAACGACAGGCTCAAATTACGGCTTTTTAAGTATTACAATTTGCGTTCTGAAAATCTCAAATTATGACTTTAAAAATACTTGACTTAAGGATTTTTAAAGTCTCGTATTGAGACTCGTAAAATTCAAAACTCAATTTGCAATCGTAAGTCTTGAAATGAAGTTTGATTTTTTTTGGGTGATGAATTAATCTGTAGTACAGCTCTTTACAGGAGGATGGATACACCTGAATCATGCGGCAAAACACGAATGGCATTTTCGTGATGCGGGGGGTGGTTGTTGGTGGGGTGGGGGGTGTTATGGGGCAGAGGGGAAAAGATACAAAGGTCGACGATGAGGAAAGGGTTGTCACGAACCTGTAGAAAGGGGTTCAACAGGCAAGAAGGAGGTAAAAGGGGTGTGATTGTATCACCAATCAATCACTGATCAATTCCCACAGCCCTTTGACGGTTCGTTGAAATTCGTTGAAATTCGCGAGCTTATTGCATCGAACAGAGAAAATTCGGCTACCCCGTAGATGATAGATTCCTCTCAACTTTTCATCCAAAAATTGGATTGACCACGAAACAAGAATTAATGGACAGTAAAAGCCGACGGCCCTCCGTGAAAATAAAAAAAATATTTTAAAAAAAATTTGCGGATTCACTCTCGACCCTATAAATCATCACCGCATCTCACTCCATCGCAACCGAAGAGAATCACTATGAGTTTCGAGACACGAATGATCGAATTTGAATCGAAAAAAAAAAGTCAATCTATTCAACCGGAACTCCATTGATTTTCCGTACAGAAAAAATATTGACGATTTTTATTTTCTCGAGGTTTGTAGAGCTTTCGGCGCATTAGAGAAATTAAAAGTGGAGAGTACTCCACTGCCACCGGAATATTCCGCCGAAATGAATGGCGGAGTGTTAGTGAATAGACGAGAAATGGAAATATTATTTTTTTTTAACTCATAAATTGAGAAAAACACGTGCTCGTACGTGTGAATTGGACACACACGTGGCAAACGAGATTGAGCCGCAGACTTGGCGTTCTCAAATCCGTTGATTCGATTTTTATGAATTTTCATCATCGATCTGTCACGCGCAGCATGAATGAATATGGTCTGGGGATGAACAATGGGGGGAAAAAAAGTGGAAAATTGTGCACACGTGTGTGAAGGATTCACGCGGTGCCTCGAGGTAGCGAGCATATGGTAGACGATCGATTTATCAGTTTGCCCGCTGTCTAATTCGACAAATTCATCGGCTTGAGGAGCCATGACAAAACCAAAGAAATATCGAGTAATCGTCGGGGTAGTCGTTCACAGAAATCACTCGACCGTTAAATCAAGGAGACTTGTCGGGTTACGTAATAAGAGAGTAAAGCCTCTTTTACAGTGAACCTTGAAATTTAGGACTGTAAAATAATAATTTTACCTCAGAGAATATGAATTTGATAGTTTATATATTTCAATCGGTAGTGGCGAGTTTTTTTTTTACGAAAATTTTGATGAAAATGGTGATTTGTAAATCACTGATACTCGAATGGCTCCAATTATTCCTCAAATTTTCGTAATTTTAGATTATTTCGGAATAATTTTACAGGGATATGTCGACGGACTTATTGTAAACGTTAATTTCGAAAAATTTGTTGTTATTATTTTTATTACATTCGTAAAAAAGTATTGATTATGGGTGAAAAATAAATGGAATAAATGGAAAATTGATAAGAATATTAAATTCCATATCGATTTCTCATTTATTTTGTCAACGCTTTTTTTTAAATAAAAACTGCAGACATATCCATGTGCCATAAAATGGTGTACATCAAATATACAACCACCTGTTTATTTTTTTAAGGTGAAGGTAAGTTGCGTCAGTGCCAGCAGATTTCATCACTCAGGATAGCTGATAAATATTGAAACAATAGCCCATAATGAGGGGTAATCATTGAAAATTGAAGAGGTCTGGAAATGAGGGTAATGGAGAAACGATTTGTCAGGAAAGGTAGAGGGGAAAAAAAATAATCTGACAGCCAGGACCCGCGAATGTTTGCCTCAATACCGCATTCGCGTTCCATCTCACGTTTCGGACTTGGAATTACACTTTTTCACTTCTAAGGATGTTCATCGCCCGAGACACATACCAAACTTATTCCTCTCATATCCTCCGAACTCCTTTGATCTTTTTTTCCTCACGCAGTGTCTGCGCTCAAGTTTTCCATTCGCAAAACATTGTCCTGGATATAATCCCACCGGCTTTGATCGCCTCCAGTCAGATTGTCCTGGAAATGTTGAGGCATTGCACCATCTGCCGAGTACGAAAAAGTGTTCTCTCATTTCGTAGAGGCAAACGCAAATTCAATTTCTCGGATTTAGAGCTCGTTGGATGTCCTCTGGGACAGCCTTGTGCACCGGTGAATTTGTTGGATGGATTTTTGCCGGAAGACCTTGGACATTTTTACCAAGTGACAGTTGCTCTGGAATTCTGAAAAATTGCATTAAAGTAAATCATGTAGAAAATTTATTTTTTCATTTTTATATTTTTCCTATTTACGAGGATTTCATTACCATTTATAAAGCAAATAAATGTGAAACCCACCAACGGTTGACGAAAAATGATTGAAAAAAGTTACTTTCCTTGTTACGGTGAAATATTGTTTGCATTCCACTTTTCCTGAAATTGAGGTCAATGACACTGGAAAATTCCCCCCACTGTGAGACTCCTAGTTTCAACAGGATATATCCTATCCTCGTAATTCAAATTTTTCTCATCCCCAGATATTGGCAGTCTCATCTCGATTACCACCGCTCTCCTCATCTCCATCCCGACCTTTCGTACCTCCAAAAAGACCATCCAAACGCATTGTAACAGCACCATTACTTTAGTAATCCCCCTCCTGGGGCCTGAATCTACCATCAAACTCTCGTTCAAAGTTGTGTTTCCCCTGCTCTCGTATCTCTCATGGCACCCCAAATTCTCAAACTTGAGATTGCGTTATCCAACAGTTGCTTTTCACTCCTTGCGCGTGCGGTACTGACTTACCCTCTGCGTTGCACTCTACTTTGTGAATATCATCTCCATCGAATAATAGTCCGCGATCCTTTATTTACTGTGGCAAGGTGCAAATCTTTGCTCGAGTCTCGTCGTCCTTTGACTACGACCTCTGCCTACATATTGCTTAGTTACAAGTATGAAAACCATCCGGAGAGTTGTGATCTGTTGGCACTGGCGGAAGAGACACTGCCAAGAATACCTTTATGGAAATCAGTTGTATGCATCACGCCATGAAGTATTCATCGCATTCATTATTCACTCAGATTAATTTCTCATTTCAATCAAATACATAATTTTACCGTTAAATTTTTCTCTTGCAACTTCTACTAAAGTCAGAGTCGAGCATTCTCCATTCTTCCAATGAGAAAAAAATGCAGGCTTTCGACAGTCCAGATTATTCCATAAAAATATTGTAACTTTTATTGAACAAAAAAGTGCTGAATTAATAAAATCAAAATTACACTTCCATGAACTCAATTGTAAGAATGGAAAGTTGCAAGTTTTTGGAATGTTTTAAAAATTTAGCAATGGGTATTTGATGGAGATGAGGGGTTTCTCTGGGGTCTTCTACCCCTTAATGTTGGTCATTATGATATTTTATACACATGCATAAACTGTTTCTCATGTTCCATCACAATAGCACTCATTCCAGCACAACGGTCGAACTATTGTTTCAGGAGTGACCATTTTGCTATCGCTCACGGTGTTCCTGAATCTAGTTGCTGAGACCCTGCCACAGGTCTCCGACGCAATACCCCTGTTAGGTACAGAGAGTTTTATTCAAGCAAAAACCAGGAAATTATCCTGAGAACAAGCAATTTTGCCTTTCATTGATTACTGTCATGGACTATTGTTTGCTGTCGAATAATTCAAGTTCCGCTCCACAAAAATATATCAAAAATATCCACAATACGGTCAATATCCATATATATTTTTAATAAAAATTTATTTTTAAATATAATGAATGCTTAAAAAATATCTATACAGACCATACCAGAAACTGAGAGAGATGGCAAAATTTTTTAATCATCATTCTTGCATGTCTTCATTATTTATGCAAAAAAGATTATAACGAGCAATTAATTTTGTTTGTTTATTTGGAAGATATCTTGCATATTTCACGTCACTTCTTCACTACTGATATGCTTTAGATATTTTTCATGCTGCGCCGATGTAAGATATCTTTTGATATATTTCGCAAAATCCACCATTTTTCATGTGGGGCGTGTACTACGCATTGAATACTCCTTGGAGGACTGTGTGTGCATGCTCTTGCGTTTTTTGTGTGGAGAAATGTTAATTGTAAAAAAAAAACGGTGTAAAACAAGTGTGGGCGTCTTGAAATCAAATCCACCACGTGACACACGATGAAATCCTGTATTTATTCCAGGGAATGGATGTGAGATGGAACAGAAAAGATATGAAATAGCGGAGAGAAGAGGTAGATTTTGGCACAGGAAAGCTGAGAAAATGTGAATGTGCGAGGATGTTGGAGGTGTTTTTTTTTTTTGCCGTCTCGGGGAATAAAAGTTTCGTGGTGAAAATGGAACGGTAAAAACGGAAAATTGAAATTGAAAGCCGAAAACACAGAATCAGACTGGGAATTTTCAACATGTTATTATAGCTGGGGAATCGAACGTTCGTGGGATCATAAAATGAAATTAATTCACCGCTATCTATTACTATTATTTTTCTCCCCGCGTCATTCAATGCACCTCTACCGTTGATTTTTGTCACGTGTAGTTGAGTTTTGGGTGAGTGTGAGAATTATGGGTAGCAGTTACGTGGTTACAAAAACACAATATATTTCAATGCCTGCTGGGCCTCTTGTCCACCATTTTTTACCCCTGATAACGGCGCAAAAGTCATCCTCAATCACATCGGAATTTTTCATATGTGAAATTTAATTCGATTTAGGGTTATTTCGGGAGGATTAAGGGTTCGTCGCCATCAGGATCGCAAATACTCCATTTATATCCCGCGTTGTTGATGGCCCAATCATTTAACTTTGTTGAATTATTCAGTGGACTATATTATTTCTCGCAACGCGGGCCGTTTATTCACATTTTTCATATTTTATTATTTCATGGTTTTCATGTACAGGTGAAAATATCTTGAATTACGATTCTGATGATTTTATTTATTATTCGTAATTTCTTATTTTGATCTGTTTATTATTCACTATCAAGATTTTCCAAAGTGGGATAGCAACTAATTGTCCTAAATAATTATAATTTTTTTTCGGGTAAAATTTAATATTACTTGTGGTTAATTGAAGTGAATTACCCATCCATTCATATCTGCAGGAACGATATGTCACTAATTTAATTTTAAAGTGTTAATCATTGACTCGGATTACTCGTATTCATCATGATCATTTAATTCCGAGCTTCAAGTGCGGATGAATTTATTTGAGACGATTAAAACTCCATCAGAAGTTTACAACTTCACTCGCTACTTCGGCTCAGACTTTCCATGATGTAACAATTAAAAAATCCACCAAACACTTGATTATTCAAAACAGATACACAACTCGTCATAAATTACACGTGAAGCTGAACTTGTCGAAGCAACTCGAGCTCGACTTCAGACTGCAGAATTCACACCCCAAAATCCCATTAATCTGATAGGTGTGAACGTTGACATCATCATGATTCCGCCATTTTACTCACGATAATTATGATTTTTTATAAACTCTTATAAACTCTTCTCCATCGAATTCAAGACTTTGAATATTCTTGAATGTGTTTTTACCCATGAAAAATGCGCTGAAAAAGTATTTTTCCAACTTTTCACTCCTAAACTTCGTCAAGTACTACTTGGTACTGCTCCAAACTTCTTTTTTTGCGCGTAAAACTGAAGACGGTGAGTTAAAAAGTGTCATTCTTTCACGGTCCGACGCGATTCGCAGAAAGAAAATTAAATGTCGCCAGGATTTCCCATCTGTTTTTGTGACCTAGATGGAAATAAGCTGAAGGGACAACAGAAACATAATTTTGTAATTATTCGTGACAGAGCCGTTTACGTCCATTTTATACGTTTCGCACCGCTTTTGTCGTGAATCGTACTTGAAGGGAACTGCTATCGTTACGTCTGTAAATATTCATGATTTTATTTTATGAGTTCCGTTGACTCGGAGAAAGGATGTATTTTACGTCTTCGTCAGAAGAGCATTCCTTAGCATTTTTTTATATAAATTTCTGAGTGGGTTATTCTTTATGACACGATATATTTTTCTTTACAGCCCAGCAGAGATTTATTCAGATAAAAATTTCTCCACATACGGCAGTAAAACCAGAAATAAAATAAATATTTACAGTATTACTTCAGGATAGAATTTCCACTGCTAATTCAAACTTATTCGTGTAAGAAAAACAACTAGCAATAAAATAACAATATTAATCGCACGGTAACACGATTAAAAATAGAAAAGTTCTAACTGTGACGGACTCAATTCGAATTTTTCAAAATTAAATTAAATAACGTGAAGAAAAAATTAAGGATTGATTCAAATTTCACTGAATAAAGTAAATTTGTTTAAAAATCATTTGTTCTTATCATTGCAGCTCTTGGTAATTAATACTTTTTGTCTTCCATGTTCCATGATTCCACAAATCACGGATGTTGTGTAATTTCAGTAGTAAATGGACTTTTTTTACTGTTCCATCCGCGCAGATCCATTCCCCGGGAAAATGGACGATTCACGTCATGGTGTGGGTTGTTATACCAAAAAAAAAAAAAAAAACAATCAGACATACGGAAATAGGTGAAAAAATGCCAACAACTGCGAAGTCAAATCAACACACCAGGGGCTGTGTATCCCACCGGTTATAATTCCCACGAATGAGCATCTTCGTGGGTTGGAACTCAAGGCCATCTTATCACTCGACTGATTTTCAACCAAATTACCATAAAACCCGTTCCCAAAGTTTCTTTGAAAACTGATTTTCAGATCATGAACAAACAATTCCAAACATTCCCCATGATTCTCAAGAAAAATATCTATCTCATGTTGACAGAGGATTTATTTAATTTAAATAATAAAAGAAGATCCAATAAATATCATTAAAGTCGGGAATAGATTGTTTTTTCAATTTAAAAAAACGATTCCCAACTTATTAATCCGACTCAAATAAATAATAATATTATTATTATTATAGAGTTGATTAAAAAAATTGAGTAATTAAAAAAGAAAATTTTTATGAAAAATTTTTCTCATTATTTGGAGTTATATTCTGCAATTCTGCATTAGTGATGTAAGAATGTTTTTCCGACATGAAGAACTCATCCCCCAGGTCTACGGCTCGTATTCTACATAAGACATGAGAGCACCCGATTTTCTGAAACTACAGTGGCTTCCACGTTCACCCAACCAGGGAAAATTGTTTCCCTCTTATTTATTGCTCCACCCTCTGAGGCCCCAATCCCCTGAATACGTTTGTATCCTTGTACGTGCTTATCCATCACTTTCCCAGGAGGTGAAATTTCCCGTAAAGCCAAAGCTAGACCATTTTGCCGACCCCTTAGCTGACTAGTTTTTGCAGTCCCTCTCGATACTCCACCTGCAGTTCAATTCTGTTGCGAAACTCGAGGATCTCTCCCATCGATTCTCGAAGTGATTCGAAATCAGAGAGGATCGGACTGAACCCCAGAGCCTCTTCATACATAAGAGGATGAAACGTACGTTTCTCAAGAGCTCCTCCATCACGAGTCGTTTAAACGTGTTTTTCTCATTCACCATTTCCACTATTCCAACAACTGCAGATAGTTATCGATGAAAATCCTCAATTGTCGTCATCCTCATGATCCTCAGTACAAAAATCAGTCGCACGTGAAAGAAGTCTCGAGTAAATACATAACCCTGAAGATCATTTATTTTTTTGACTCAATGAAAATCTCTAATCCTTTTTTTACCGTTAATTCGGAATCGTTTTTACATAACAGCATTATTTGTTATTTAATATAAACTTTATTTGATGGGTGTAAATGGTCATTCAACGAACCCTTTGCCAAATGAATTAATTTTTTCGCGGTATAAAAGTGATAGAAAAATCTAGCATTCACTCGATCGTCCATTGGCTAACTGACTATTTCGTATTCGAATGGATCACAATAAAAATGCATCGAATTGAATCGGAGATGAATTGATCTGCGGTGTTCATGATATTGCAAAATCGGAATAAGAATTTGAAGGTGGAAAATAATATTGATGTTGGAAATCGATATGCGACCCATACCGGGTGTTTTTACCGATGGACATTCATGGATTCACAGTAATTACTTCGAAACGCGATTGGAACAATGGAAATTGGGATCAAAGTCCGTTTCACTTGGGTGTAGGGAAAATAGGGCAAGAGGAATAGGATGGGTGAGAAATTGGGGCGCAGAGCAGATTGAAAGTTGAACACACACGGCCAAACTATTGTGCCGTGAGCTGGATTTAATCCTCCATCACGAATAGTTTGTCTGGTATTTTCATTTAATTTCCCTGTTCTCGCATTCTCTTATGCTCCTACTCGGTTACTATCGCTATTTTTTCTATCACCTTTCGCCAATTTTTTTTTTCCCCCGCATTATTTCATTTAGTCGTATGTCTCGGCTGTTGCTTCACTGTCGCTTTTGTGCTACACTTCAGATTTAATATGTATCAACGTATCGTGTGGATTTAATTTTTGGGTAATACTTCAGTATAGGTCATGAATATTCAATTAGTATCGCTCGCTTTTTGGTATGGATGGTGCAGAGCACACGTGCACGCACGGGC